CTCTTGCTGTCTTGTTTTGCTCTGTTGCTGTCATTTTGGGATGCTGTCTCTGCCATGCGGCAGAACAAAGGACTCCTTTGAGCTGAGCCCATGCTTGCAAAGATGGGGCTGCTCTTACAAATCCCTTGGGACTCTTGGCTTATTGCCATGGACTATCCTGGACTATTGACCCTACCTGATGTTGGTAAATATGCTCTATTGTGTAGTTAGGCAAAATATTGCTTAGGATGTTCTTTTAAAGTCTTTCTAGTTCTGATTGCAAGCCTGTGCTAAATACACTCTATTCTTGTTGTAAATAGTGTCTGTGAGATGTGTACACTGACTCCAAGCCTTTTTCCTAGTGCCTGCTGCTCGCCAACGGCTGCTACCAATAAGATTAATTGTATAGCCCTGGACAGGGTTGTTGGAGTGTAACCCCACATACTCCGATGTGAAACGCACCTTTTTCTCACAAGGCAATCAGCCACCCATTTATTTCAAATTCAGGTGGTTTTAACCTTTCTTTCATTTTTAGAGTTTAAAAATATGAATGGCCTTCATAAGGATCTTTTTATATAATGACCAGTTACGAAGGGTGCTGCTTCGGATGGCAACTGCCTGCAGAGAGAACCAGGAGGAGGCAGAAGCTTCCAAGGGCCAGCCTGTCATCCATCTATGACGCCACATCCAGCACAAAGAAAAATAACTGCTTCTGACCTGTGAAATCTCTGGACCTCGTGTGCACTGCCTAAAAGCTGGCTTCGCTCTTCTGCCAACTGCTGGAGAGATCGCCAGCGCTCGTTCAGTTCCTGGAAGGCAACAAAAAAACTCATGAAGAGCTACAAAACATTTTCATCTCCAGGGCCTCTTTCTAGGACTGGTCTGATCAACTAAAAAGGTGCCCAGGTTAACGAGGAAATGCATTTGAAATAAATATTTCTAAAAGAAGTACTTTCAAACATTACAGAGAGCAAGTGCCATCTCAGGAGAGACATTCCTCCTCTCACCTTCAGGAGAGGAAGCCTCATCTACGTTGGAGCCTGCTGAAACATGCATGTCTTTTATGTTCTTACGCAAACAGCATTAGACAAATTCACAGAGGACGTGACAATCAATGGCTATTAGCCATGATGGCTAAATGGAAACTTCCTAGTCAGACACTGTGTGTCTGAATCCCAGCTGCTGGTGAAAACGACAGGAGAGGCCTCTGTGGCCTCAGATTTCCAGGGGAATGTAGCGGACCACTTTAGGAAACAGTATACCCTGGACCACACAGACATCTGTTGTGATCTAGCAGGGCTATGCTCATGACACACATTTATAGGACGCTTGTCACCTTGAGCCAGTTTGTCTTGGCAAGGCGGGATACAAATAGAAAATAATAATGATGATGATGATAATAATAATATATTTAAAACCAACGCATGCCTTTTTATTTGAAGTGACTGTTATAGGCATACACAAATTATACAGATTGATTAATAAATTGATTAAACTCTCCCTGACCTGGACAGCCCCCTCTAGCCGGATCTTGTCAGATCTTGGAAGCTAAAGCAGGACCCTGGCAAGTGTTTGGATGGGAGACCTCTAGAGAATACCAGGGCCGGGAGGCCAGAGGCAGGCTATCATGCCACTTCTCTGAATGTCCTCCGTGCCCCAGTAGGAGTCACCAGAAGTCGCCATGCCTATCCGGGCACAGGCACCCACACACAAAAAATACTCCCCTCCTCCAATAAATTGATCAAACTCCTATGATCAGTTGGATAAGGGAAACCCTCCTTTGGACAGCTTAATTCAAAGAGGCAATGAATGGCAAGGAGACAGAGATACCCACTGCTAAATATTGGAGAGAAAACAATTTCCTTTAGAATGAGATAAGATGCTGTAGACTTGCCTTGATGGAGTTGAATGTTGCCACAGTGTGCACCACCATCTTTGCAAACTAAATAGAGGAGAGGTAAAAAGCGTTTTAGGTGTATATCCTGTTCAGGCTCAGACCACACTGTTGTTAAGGACACACTGCTGCATGCATGCATACCAGCGCCCCGCACAAACCACCTTAGTGCGACAGCAAGGAAAAGAATCCTGTGGTGTGAGCTGATCATTTCTTAAGTTACTTTTCAAATTTAAAATGTTCCTTTGCCTTCGCATGAAAACCCAAATAACGGATATGCACTCTGCATCCTAAGAACTGAGCACAGGGGGAAGTCACAACTAGCACCATTGTGCAAAGACTTCCGCAAGTGCTGAAGCACGGAAATTCTGTAGCAGACATCAGGTTTCTGCAAGAGGTTCCACAAGTGGAAGAACATTTCTAGATTGTCCACTTCTCATACGCAACACAAAAAACCAAACTGCCTTTCCACGAGCGGAACACGCCTTCTGCATACTGAGGGGCCCCTCTGGAACCAAACCAATGATTGACACGTGGCTTTATGCTTTTTGAGGCTAACTGCTGTACCAAGTTAATTAGACAGTCTAACATCAACACGCAATCAACAGTTTAGTTTTCAAAAGGAGGAAGTCAGATTAGAGCGACATGTCCTTTAAAAAAACAAAACAGTCACTGTGCTGAAGATGAGGGCAACTTATTTCATCTCATTAGGGCTACATTCGACTGTCACAATAAATGGTGGCTTCTGCAAAAGACCCTGGTTACCCCCTTCAGATACTAAATTAATAAATTCCAGTTTGTCCACTTCTTGCCTCTGCTCCGCCTCCCAGCAGGGAGGATAACCTTGCTACACCACAATCTCTGTGGCCAGGATGGATGCTGCAGTTCAACAATCTGTCACTTGTGAATTCAGACATCGTTAACTTACCACAGTTAGCACAAACGGCGGCTAACGAGCCAGTTACAAACCCTTATGTAAAACTTGGGTCCGATGCCAACCAACAAACCCCCATTTACGTTTGTACCTCACAATTAACTAGGGAATGACCAAACCGCAGTTTATAGGGCAAAGTTTGTCACCTCACAAGGCAGACAGTGTGGGATGCTACTTTCCCCTTGTCTTCCAGAACCAAAATCTGAGTGGAGTACTAAGCCAGAGTCACAGAAGCGCATTGTCACAGAAGCACGGAACAGGCATTAACAAGGTAAATAACCCCACTTTGAGGGTGCTTGTCCATATTCAAGTTATTGGTCCTACCTTCCAAGGAGATGCTGTCTTTGAGTCAGTTTCATCCTGTTAGAAAGAACGATGAGATCTTCACAAACGTGACACACAAATCAAATCCACCACATTCTTGTACAGAATGCAACCATCTAGCACTTCTTACAACCAGACTGTTATCTATGTTTTTAGATGAACAAGAAAAGCAAAGCAAGGCTTCAATCCTATGAATACTTGAGATTATATCTCAATGAACTCAGCAGGACATACTTCTGAGTCAGCATGCATGGGACTCGAATGTGTGGGTCCATACAATCTTACCAAGAATGGGGTATGAATGGGTTAAAGAGATGTAGACGTCAAGCAGATACAGACATTTATAAAACGGATTTTTTAAACAGTGAATGGTGGGGTCGGTTGGTGCCTATTTTAGTTATCTGTTCATGCGGAAAACAGGGGTGAGAAGGGTTTTTTCTCCCTACATATAAAAATGGAATGTACAGGTGAAGAAACTATAAAAGGTAAAGGTAAAGGTTCCCTTGCTCGAAAGCCAGTCGAATCCGACTCTAGGGTTGCGGTGCTCATCTCCGTTTCAAAGCCGAAAAGCCAGCGCTGTCCGAAGACGTTTCCGTGGTCATGTGGCCGGCATGACTAAACACCAAGGTGCACGGAACGCTGTTACCTTCCCACCGAAGCGGTACCTATTTATCTACTTGCAATTTCTTGCTTTCGAACTGCTAGGTTGGCAGGAGCTGGAACTAGAGATGGGAGCTCACCCCGTCTTGCGGCAGCCGGGTCTTGAACTGCTGAACTACCGACCTTCCACAGCCTGCAGTTCAGTGTCTTAACCACTTGAGCCACCACAGCTCCTGAAGAAACTATACTTTGCCCCTATTCCTCCTTTTCTCACTGTGCTCTGTTTCTTTATGCATTGTCTTAAACCCAGAGTACTTCTGGTATTGCAGTGAGCTGAGCCATGAATACATCAAGCAGAGCACAGACAAGTAAGGAGGGCAGGGTTTAGTTCCTCTTACCTACACACACGTGTGTGCATGTTTTAAAAGGACACTCACACATTTCCCCAAGCCTGTTTTATGCCCAAACTCCTCAGGGATGCCCTCATCACATCAAGTTTGACCTTACTACAAAAATAGGATTAACACATGACGCACATCCTCAAGGGTGCCACTGTGTGACACGTATTCACGAGGCCCCTATTCAGATGGGGTTTTTTAGACCAATGGTTACATACTAGAGAAGACGCTTACCCGTGGCATCATTCCATAAACCTCCTGGAAAAGAGAAGAAAATGCTCATTTAGCTTTCTATGAGAAACTCCAGGAGGATGTGAACTCTTTGGGAAGGGGAAGTTAAGAATGTTTTTCCCATGCCTTGAGTTAAGGACAGACAGGAGCTCTCCAACATCCTAATTTTCTGAAGGCATTCCATAGGCAAATAATGTTCCCACATGCTCTTGATATATTAGTGCAATTTATACTCAGGGAGATTCTAAAAGGAAATGTGCCACATCACCATTCTGGCTGATTTTGTCAGGCTGGACAATAAACAGAAACAGATGTGGAAAGCTAATGATCCTTCACTATGCAAAGTGGTCTGTGAACAGTGCATGGGATTAAGCCCATAACCTCAGTCTTAGAGTATGGGCTTTTCTCTGATTTTCAGGTGGAGAAGAGACACTGAAAAAGCCAAGGAAATCCTTGTTATGATCCCATCAAGGGCCTCTGTACACGTTACAGAAGTTGCTGTGTGCTCCCTGTGTTTCTACAGTGACACCTATGGCGTAAGAGATGGCCACCCACATGTTCACCATGGAAATATACTGCAAGGAGCCAAGAGAAGTACCTGAAGTACTAATCCAAAAGCAAAATTTAGCACAACTGAATACAAAATCGTATCAGAAAAGGTCCATCAGGAAACAAAATAAAGATTTGCAGCTGCATGGAAGCAGTACGCTGAATAAGAGAACATCGAGACTCCTTTCTATTACATGGGAGGACTCAATCAGACGGGAACGGACCTGCTGCTGTACTGCTTGCACTTCTTCTGCTATCAGCCCTTCTGATTCTAGCTCGTCTGCCACCTTGTTGATGTCCTTCAGGCGTGACTCGTTGGCTTTCAGATCCTGCACAGAGCAGCAAAGTCAGAAGGTTAAAAGCCATCAAGAAATGTTTCTCACCAGAGGTAGTTTCTGAACTGCAGGCTGTCATGGCGTGTGTTCTTGAGACTTTCAAGAGATGCTTTCAAGTACAAGGCCTTCAAGTACAAGGCCAGTAGCCTTACTGAGTACGACGGCGCCTTATACTGTGACATCCCCCCCAATCTGTATTTCTTTTTCAGGATTCAGCTTCCAACAATACCAGAGCGTATGAAAGAAAAAGCAGGTGCTTCTCCATTTTACATTGTACTACTATTGGATCAGTGGGTTTGAATAGGCTTAGCATTCTGTTTCATGTCTATTTCATGCTGTCAGAGATCAGAGTGCTTAAACTAACTGAGACTCTTCGTCCCTTAACTGGACCAATGGCTACACTTATGGTAGCCCCATGATGGTCACCTAGTAGGAGATGTTTTGGGATATCATAAAGGGGTAAGGCACAGGAGGAATGGCACTGAGACAGTCATTAAGTGGCTTGTAGGAGCAGGAACGTATAGGCCAGGGGTGTCGAACTCATTTGTTATGAGGGCCAGATCTGACATAAATGAGACCTTGTTGGGCCGGGCCATGCGTGTCATAAAGTGGAATGCCAGGTAGTGGAGATATAAACTTTATAAAGGACACAAACACAAAGGATTTTTTTTACTTAAAAACTTGCTTAAAACAAGTATCTGATAACTGACACCTCTTGCTCTGAATTATTGCATCAAAATGTCTGTGCTGTTGCAATCTTGAGTATGCTGTTTAAATGTGTATCTGTAAGCTGCAAACCTACTTCTGATTTATTGACATTCACCACAGAAATCTCATGCTCAGAGTTCTGAGTCTAGGACGCAGAGGAAAACATGAAATGGCTGAGCAATTGAGAGAGTCTGGCGAAGCAAGCTATGATGCAGCAGCAGCAGCAACAGAACTGGAAGCAGGAAATGGCCAGTTCCAGTGCAGGCCTGACAGAAGCCCTCCGGGGGCCTAATGTGGCCCCCGGGCCACATGTTTGACACCCCCAGGTATAGGCTGTAAAGATTTAGAGGATTGTCATGACGTAACAGACCAGCCAATCTGAACCGGTGGGTGTGGTATGATGGACAAAGGCGTTCGGTGGGCAAACTTCCACTTGCTGGGTGATTGTGGGCCACTCACTCCCCTTAAGGAGTTGATGTTTCTCAAACACCTGAGCACAGACAAAGCACAAGATATAAATGTGACGGAAAGCTCTTACTCTGGAGGAGGGAGAAATAAGGTGCCAGGACGGACTCTCATTCTCCCACGTAGGGAGCCACAGCTCACCTTCTGGAAGTCATCGAATTTCTTCTGCAACACCTCGACCTGCTCCAGATCTGCTCCAACCTCTTCGTTGGTCAGCGCAGCCTCCTTCTCATTGATCCACTGCTGGAGCTCGTTTGCCTCACGGAAAACCATGAACTTTTTGCAGCTTTTCTCCAGCATGCCTTTACGCTTCTCTCCCAATTCAAGGAGAGAGTGATACCTAGAAGACGGGAGGGAGATGGGGGAGCCCAGTCAGTTCTGAATACTCTGCCAGGGACACATGGAAAAGATATTTCACATGGACTTGAGGCATCAGAGAGGGAGGGACGCCTAAGATGACGACAGAGTGTTCTACGGAGCCACGCAGCTGCAAACCCTGAAGGGGGTCTCTCTACTAAACAAGCCAGAACATTGAGACAAGGCCTCTAAGCACACAAGGTTTCTGGAAGAGGGAGACGCAAAGCAAACCACAGCTTAAGAGTCAAGGCAGACCAGAGCTGCAGTACTGGGGGTGCCAACTTAGTGCAGAATAACTAAATGCAGGAACCTCTGTGCAGACATTACTGCTTCAGTAAAGGCATTCTGCAGCCACTGCATGTCTCATTCAACAGAAATATTTCCCATCTTTCAGCCCCTCGAAACAAAATACTGTACTTGGGATGAGTTCCCAAGACTGACAAATATACATGTATCAAATGCATTTCATGTGCTCAACAGAATAGTTGTTACAGGCAAAAGCTGATGCTTTCCTTCACAACAGGTGTTGCAGCTCTCCTGTACGAGTATACTGTTATTGTTGAGACGTAAAGCAAAGTGAATGGGAGGCTTTTCATTATACTCCTGAAAGCCAAGCTTGTTTTCTTGATATCAGCATTTTCCAGACATTAAAAAAATGCTGGTGTGTCAATCCTTGAAGCAAACTAACGCGCTCCAAGCCCTCAACAAAAAGCAGCCAATCTGAGGATTTCTTTTTTTTCCAAAAAGGAGGAAATACAGGAATACTTCACCTTGAGAAAAGCAGGTCTGACAAGCTAAAGTTTCCACAAGAAAAGCCATTCTCAAAAAATATCTTTACTATGGCTGCTACAGCCCATTTCAAAGCGAGGAGAGCCACAACATTTGAGAAGACCTGGATTCTTCTAATTCTCCCATACAGCCGAGAATTGGCCGGTGGTAAAGCCTTCTATGGGGGCCCAATTAAAACCAGAAATTTCATACTAGGGCTGTATCACTGAGAAAAACAGGCAGTCCTGGAATGTTTCCAGTGCTTTCCCGGAATTCTACTGTGTGCATAAAAAACAGCTGCCTGGTTTATCATCCTGAGGTGACAGTCGGGTCATGAGTTGAACCCATTAATGGGAAAGCTGGTTTCATACAGATTTCCATCATCACTTCCCCCAAAGGGTGGGGGGAAAACAGCTATACAGATAAACTCTCAGTCCAGATGAAGGTTGTACGGATTTTGCTGATCTGTTAAAATGCCTGATCACTTCGGCAGGTTATTTTTAAAGACTTCATAATGAATACAACTTCTATGCAATGCAAACTTACCCGGTTCAGCTTCCGCCTCCTCCTCCAGCAAACTTGCCCAAATATGCCCATAACTGTGCAAGCATCCAGTCTAAATTAGGTGATTTTTAAAATCTAATAAACTGGAATTTCTTTCTCTTTGTCTACCCCTCCCCCGGAAATTCAAGTTCCCCCAAGTCAAAACAACAACTCTGGTAGACACTGGGCTTTTTACAGAAAGCAGTACACTCACAGCCAATGTTCCCTCTAAGCTGAGTTAGTGTGAGCTAGCTCACAGTTTTTTAGCCTCTGGCTCACACATTTTGGTCTTAGCTCAGGAAGGAGGGCTCCAAGGCAAACTGACGTATGCAGTAGTCAGATAGCTCGCTCACAGCTTTAATGCCAGTAGCTCACGAAGATGAATTTTTGCTCATGAGACTCCACAGCTTAGAGGGACTATTGCTCACAGCCTCCAGCTTAGCGAAAGCAACCAAATGACAGACTTGAGCCTGCTGGAAGAACGCCAGCACCAATACATACCGGGACAGCAATTTAAACAACTTATTTTGACAGTAAGTAAACTGGCCTAGAGTGTTGCTCCAGGAAGAGACAAGGAGTGACAGTTAACAGAGAAAGAACGAGAAGGCAACTGCACAAGGACAGCACGGTTTGCAAAGGGCTAGTCCTACTCACAGTTCTTCGACCTGTTTCATACGCAGAGATACACTGCCGACTTCCTTAGTTATGAGAGTCCTGCACAGACAGAGGGAGCACAGCAGAAAGCATGCACAAAATTAGTCAGATTAACAAAAACAAGTGAAGGCAGAGGCTCCGTCCAGGGATCATTCATGGCAGGCAATGAAGGGAGGTGTCCATTAAAGGTGGGAAGAATGAGGATGCCGTCACAAAAGCAATGTGAAGCAGGACCGGAGCTTGGGTGCAAATGACTGTAAAAGAAACCATCAGCAGTACTGTTCTGCTCTCCTCATAGGGCTGCCTCCTCTCTTGTATCATATGAGCACTCCCCCATCCTTAGAACCAAAAAGGGGGTGGGGGTGGGTTCTGTTCCAAAAGCAGGCATAATCTTTTATTTCCCCCTCCGGGAGCAGTCAAGGGGAGGGTGTTTTTTTTTTTTTTTTTTTTACAGAATTTGATTCAGCACCAGGAGATGTGAGTTCAGATTCAGTTTTGGCCGTGAACTTGCTGGCTGCCGCTTTCAGCTTCCCAACTGCATCACAGGTAGATGGGGCTTCTCAAGGGTTGGTGGGAGAATACTGTTTGGATTGTAATGCAGCTGGAACCACAGGACGTCTTAGTTGGTGGATGGTGCCAGCAGGCAAATGCTAGTTGCACCACTCATCATACGTGGGCTAATCTATGTAAGGGCAATGGAATTCTCTATGGGTATCCCCCCCCGCCCCCGCGAGAAAAGGGGCAGTGGTTTTTGCAGAAGAGCAGTTAGGAAGACACATCAAAATGTAGCTCTGCTTTTCCCAGGATTGTGATACGATGACTCCTATCATCCGCAGCTCGGTCCAGAACTTAATCTGCAGCTGCCAGGCACTCAAGGAGGGGGAAGTGAACTAAATTATGTGGCTGCTTTGCTTCTTTGCACAGCAAAGTCTTAGAAATACCTGTATCTACCTATACATAAAAGGTGTGTGCACACATATATGTAAAATGCATGCATGTGTGCCCTGGAGCTGAATAACGCAATCTAACCCCTCCCCCCAGAGTAATCTGTTGCCTGCAGGCAGCCCTGCAAAGAGCCAGTTGCGTGCTTCAGGTGATTAGATTTGGGAAGCATCTTAATCAGAATCACATGCTTGGAAAAATCTGGGAGTTACGATTGTCAAAACAAAGGATGCTTAGGACAGAAAGGGTGGGAACAGTTAGACACAAAAAACACAGATAATATAAGAGTCAGGCAGTAAGTGTAAAAAAACTTAACGACTGAAAAAAGAAAAGAAACAGAGAAGTCTAAGTTAAACTAATGAAATTAAAACAAAAGAGGAATAATATGGTCATCTTTTCAGTGTAACCATTTGCTGTGAACAGTGTTAAGAAATGGTCCCCTAAGCCCTTTGTTGACGGCAGGAAAAAGGATCACCCCTCCCAAGGTCTGCGGGTCCTCCTCGTTTGATCTTACTGGTTGTCAATCTGCTCCTGCCGCAAGGCTATGCTGCCCTGCTCATCCAGGAGGTTCTCCCGGGACGCAGACTGGGCCGGGTCTAACTTCTTCACATAGGCAGCTGGTACAAAACCCTGCCGGTCATTCACTTCCACTTTCCACCAGTCCTGGAAGAAAAGAGGCAGCCTATTAATGGCCTGAAGTCACTGCAAGCAAAGATTGTTAATGCAGGGAAAGAAGGGGAGATGAATCAGAGGCTGGAGATGAAACAATCTTCAGTTCCAAGCAAGAGGAGAGACTCCACTCACACTCAGGCTAGGGGACTGTGTAAACAAAAGAAGGGTTTGATATTTCTGACGTGTGGCACCCCACAGAGAGAGCCGTCGCTCATGAATGATTCAAGGTATTGGTAAGCTACTAAAACATACTGGGTTCATACGGCCAGGTCTTTGGATAACAACGCAGGCCTAACAAACTGAGGGCAGTTTCCGAACTGCGGACCAGGCTTCCACTACGTTCCTTATCACTAGACAGCTTTTTCTCTTCTCCCCTCAACACATTTCTGTTTAGCATCCAGCCTCAGGAAGGGTTCTGTGAAACTCCAAAGGGGGCTCACTGCTGTACAACTTTTGTTAGTTCCAGTAAAGGTATTTATTATACAACTTTTGCTCTTTGGATTTTCTCTGAATCCTGACAGTGTAAAATAAGACACACACACCCCGCCTACCCTGACGTTACAGTCTGCTTTTGCAAGAAAGAAAGAAAGGCTTACTTTGTTGGTGCTGTTCAGCAGAGTCAGAATGTCTCCCTTCTTCATTGTTACCTCCCGGGGACTTTTCTCTTGGTAATCGTACAGGGCCAGGACCAGTTCTTTGCCAGTCTCATCATCTGTGGGAGCCACTTGTTGCTGAAAAAAAGACCACGGGTGGCTCTATTACCCAGGGGAGTCCACTCCACTGAAGCAAACATTAAAACACACTCCCTGAGCCATAATCATAGTCAATCATAGGCAACAGGAAGCTACCATCAGTCAGAGATTTAATTGTAGCTTCTGCTCAACAGTGTGCTTCAAAAGTTCTGTACTTTCCGAATTTGGAAAAAGAGATCCAGAGATTATATCGATCCTGGACATAAATGAGATAAATCTGGTCCTTGCTGACAACAGTGGATTTGAGAAAGCAGAGTTTAAGTCCCAGGTCTGCTGAGGACAAACCGGAATACCCTTGGGTAAATCAGATTCACAGTCATCTCCCTGGGAAAATAAATCTGCTGCAAAAATGGCCAATGAATGTTAAAGCATTTACACTTTTTTAAGGGTCACTGATTAAAAAATCACTGTTATGAATCCAATGTCCTAAATGTCTTCTAGATTGCCAGCAACACCCTCCGTAGTGGGGCAATCTGCCTGCGTGGGGACAAGAAAGTAGCGGCAGGTGCTTCCTAGTGCCTTCTTACCCGGCATGCTTGGGCCTGCTCCCTCAGGGCTTGAATGCTACTGCCGTAGGCGGAGAGATCAGACATCAGAGCTTCGTGCTTCTTGAGAAGAGCCTGGAAGCAGAAAAACAAAGCACATCAGAACAGGCACACTGTAAACATTTTTTAAAATCTGTTAAAACCAAACACACAGTGAGAAATTAGTCATCAGAACTATTCAACGGATAACTCTGGACTTTTGACAGATTTAATTTTTGTGTCATAGGGTTTACACTGGAATTTGGTGACTAAGCTTTTTAAAAAGGAAGAGTTTATCCCCCAAAAAAGGTGACTTGTTGGGAGGAGGTGGGGCCGGCGTGGTGAGAATGGGCGACACTGGGAAGCTCTCCCGTGTGCCGGCCGGATCGATGTTTTTTTCCACTGAGCTCCCCAAAGATTCTTTATGAACTGCACAAACTGATGCTGTGTGATCCCTTTACAACACACACCTATCCCGTTTTTGGAGTAGGCAGTTATCTTATAACACCAGCCAATCAGCCCAGGACTATCTGCTCCAATGGGCAGCGCATGAGGTTGGAGGTCTCCCTGAACCTGCTTCTCTTTTAATTGGGAGATGCCTGGGATTGAACTCGTGTCAATGATCCGGCGACCCCCGAGATCTACACCACTGATACACGAAAACCACGAGATCTACACCACTGAGCCGTGGCTCCTTTTCTGCTTTTATTTTACAGCACCGATAGTTTGCCTTTCTCAAAAAGTCCCCAGGCAGATTTCCACACACACTACCGTTGAGACCGTGCGATATTTGCTGTATACTCTGACTCTGAGAGCATCAGAACACTCCCGATGCAGGCCGTGACGTACCTCCGCAGAGTCCTCATCCTTCCCATAATCGGTGCTGCCCACGATGGGCTCCTTCTCCCGCATCCAGGACTCGGCCTCGTTGGCGTCAGCAAAGTACTGCTGGGCTTGCAAAGAGTCTTCCAGGTCTTGCCTGCGCTGGGACGCCTTGCCTTTCAAGGACTCCCATTTCTGGTTCAGGTCGTTCAGTTTGATTTTCACATCCTCGGCAGCGAAGTGTCCTGAGACACAAGAGCGTCCAAGTAGCACGCAAGCACGGAAAGACATCCAGGGCCACTCGTGCTCTTTGTACCTCCCCTCCCTCGGTCCTTCCCTGGGAGAGACTGGGAGCAGAGGCCTCAGTCCTACGGGTGCCCTTCCCAGTCTTATGGGAGACCCTGAACGGATGTGAACAAATGAAGAACCCCCCTGCATCATCAATTCAACTCTCCCCACTGTGAGAGGACTGGGGAATAGGATGCATGCACCCAAGGACATAAGAAGAGCCCTGCTGGATCAGACCTGAGGTCCATCTAGTCCAGCATCCTTTCTCACCCAGTGGCCAACAACAGAGCATAGAGGACAAACCCTTCCTCTGAAGTTGACTGCCTCTAAATGTGGAGGTTCCCTTTAGTCACCATGGCTAGTAGCCACTGATAGACCTAGCTAATCCCCCTTTAAAGCTGTCTGTGCCTGTGGCCATCACTACATCCTCTGCCAGTGAATTCCACATTTTAAGCACTCGCTGTGTAAAAAAGTATTTCCTTCTGTCCGTCCTGAACCTACTGCCCATCAGCTTCACTGGATTCCCATGAGTTCTAGTATTTTGAGAGAGAGGAAAGTTTTCTTCGTCAACTCCATGGTAGAAGGCTGAGTTTAGGAAACAACCAGGCACCCCTTTGCAGTGCTCAGATCCAGCTGCAGCTGACAGCCCCCTGCCTCTGACCACCACTGCTAAGGAGGCGGGGAGCAGCTAAACATCTGCCATCACCTCTGGCTTTAGGGTTTAGAGGCCACCCTGTTTATCTATTCTTAGTATAAAACTTAGAATCATAGAGTCACAGAGTTGGAAGGGACCTCCGGGGTCATTTACTCCAACCCCCTGCACAATGCAGGAAATTCACAAATACCTCCCCCCCCCCAACACCCCCAGTGGCCCCTGTTCCACGCCCAGATGATGACAAAAAAAACTCCAGGATCCCTGGCCAAACTGGCCTGGAGAAAAATTGCTTCCTGACACCAAAGTGGCAATCAGCATTTCCCTGGGCATGTAAGAAAGGGCCACAAGAACTAAGCACTGATGCAACCCTTCCTGCAGAAAATACCCAGCCTTTACTCCAGTTAGTCAGCACCTGGCTGGCTTGCTTGGTGAGTGTCCGGGATTGCTAAGGTAACACTGAAAGTAAGTCCACAACACTAACGAGCCCACAACATTTTTAACTGGATGACCTTCTGTAAAAAGTTACCATCTGACCACCCGGTGTGTGTGTGGAGGGTCCTGTTCCCCACAGGCAATAAGGGAAGTGAGTTATTTATAGGCATATACTGAGGAGATGGACAAGATACAAATCCCTTATACTTTACAATAGAACAGAAAAAAATTCAGATGCACACACCTTCTTCCACCATGATATTTCCTTTCTGGGTGACTGCTTTAATGCGTGGTTCATGGCCAGCAATCTCGGCTTGCAAGGCCTGGTGCTTCTTCAGCAGGTTCTGGACCCCAATCAAGTCTTTGCCTGAAAGTGAGCACAGCTGACATCACGATCTGCCAGTCTGAACCACAAAATGGTTAAGCCGCTGAATAAAAGCTGCCGCGCTGTGAAATGCATGAGTGATGGATGCGAACACAGCGGAAAGAATGCTTATGTTCTTGAAAGCAACAGTGGGTGGGCAGTTTTCTGTCTCTGTTCTGAGATTCTGTCAACTGGGCAAAAAAGGTTTTTTAAAAACCTAGCAAGCCTACTGAAAACTCTGACTTGCTGGCCGTCCGAATAATTCTGGGCCACTGCAAATGTATGCTTCTTCTTGAGCCCTATTCAGAGATTACAGCACAGGGCCAGTAGTAGACACTAAGCTGTGTGGTTTAATAGGAGACAAAAGTGGCAGAAGCTCTTTGGGAAGAAAAAGGCGACGTCGCCTAAATGAGCTTTGCATGACAGACCTTCTGAAGAGTGAGGAGCAAGAAACCCTCAGTCATTCAAGTGGCATCAAAGGCTTTTAAAAAAGGTAGGGGGCCATTTACAAAAAGGAGCTCTTGACTTCATGCGATACGCAATGTACCATGGCCAAACAATACTTTGGCTGTTATGAACAGGGTTGGGGCTTGTACACTGCCCACCGGCATTCCAAGTTCTCTCCCTGATCGTTGGTAGAAGTGGGTTTTCGGTATATGCAACAGGAGGAGGGAACAGATGGAGTAGAGTTGCCAGTTCCCTCCCTGGCCACCGGCAGGAGATGGTGGGGGGTAGGGTTGCCAGATGCAAGATGGGAAGCTCCTGGAGATTTGGGGGTGGAGCCTGGGGAGGACACGGATCTCAGTGGGGGGCAATGCCCATAGAGTCCAACCTCTAAAGCATCCATTTTCTCCAGGGGAACTGATCTCTGTAGTTCGGAGATGAGCTGTAATTTCGGGAGAATCCCAGGTCCCACTCAATGACTGCCAGACCACCATCTTGCTATTATATATGAACCATCCCAATATTTGGCCAAATAATAGGCAGCAAACTGTGGAGCCAAGTGAGTGGTGTTCCAACCTTACAAGGCATCAGTCTTCCTACTTATGTAGTCATGAGGATGATGAGAGTCAAACGGAACGTAAGCATGACCTGAGCCAAAAGCATTTCCAGAAATGCTATGAAATCCTTGTCTGAGCCCGATGAAGTCTGTATGCAATTTCAGTTTGATACAGTGCGTGTCTGAAACAGTGGAGGCTGCTGTCAGTCACAAATAAATGCTGACAACGCACACAAAAACACAGAGGCAGACCAACAAATGTGGATGAGCATCGAATGGTCATTGTCAGTGATGGCCTGTGTAACTCCATTTCACTGTTTGCCAGATGCATGGGAGACTGTCAATATTCCACAGCCACATTAATGGGCGGTCGTATTTCCTGTAAGAAATTCTCAGGATGGGATACAGTAAAACTCGCAGTCAAATTTTGGCATCTAAGCCTCTTCAGGACAGGATCAGTTTTTAACCTTATTTACCGACTGACTGACCTGACCTGGATAGCCCAGGCTAGCCTGATCTTGTCAGATCTCAGAAGCTCAGCAGGGTTAGCCCTGGGCAGTATTTGGATGAGAAACCTCCAAGGAAAGTAGGCTTGTGACAGAGAGGTGGGCAATGGCAAACCACCTCTGAATGTCTCTTGCCTTGAAAACCCTACGGGGTCGCCATAAATGGGCTGTGGACGGACAGCAACCCCCCCCCTCCAAATCTAACTGGAAAACCTGACCTAGTGCAAGAAGCTCTTGGTTTGTGCCCTGGGTACCCAAAACAATCACTGGTCACCTTAGCTTCTGCCCATCCTTCCCTGTTCTACGGACTGCCTATTTGAATATGGAGATCAATGAGGGAACCAGCCCCACACACCCCCGGTCGGAGCGTGCCACAAAAAGAATTCGACCACACGGTGACTTTGTATTCACACCTGGACATATTCCTAGATAACGACAAGCAACTCTCACTAACAATACCCAGGATAAATATGTCAATTGGACCTAAAAAGCTGTGGGAATCCACAACAGAATTGCCGCCACCATACTCCATGGTACAATATAGTACCTCGATTGGTTGAAGCTGCAATCGGTTCCTTCTCTCTGATCCAGGTTTCTTCATCTTCAACGTCACGGAAAAGCTGCTGCAGGCGAAGGGAATCTGCGAGCTTCTGCTTGCGCGCCACCATGGGCTCCTTCAGGGCCTCGTAGCGGGCAACCAAGGCCTCCTGCTTCTTTTTGATATTGTCGGCATCAAAGTGGCCAGCTTCTTGGAACTGCCGAGCTTGGATGGTGATGCCATCAATGCGATCCTGGAATAAATAATTTGGTTGGAGGTATGAATCTAGATCTCCGAGGTCCTGGTCCAATACTCTGAAGGCTGCAACAAAATGACTCTCAAACAGTACATGGGAAAATGACTCTCAAACAGGACATGAGAAACTTATCAAGTATGCCATGAGATGCAGCAACTTATTATTTATTTATTGTTTATATTTATATCCCGCCTTTCCAGATATCTGGCTCAAGGCGGCTAACAACATTAAAATGGCATAAACAACCAAGTTAAAACAATTAATAAATACCATCCCAGTTAAAACAACACCAGTTGCAATTAACCCAACAGAAATGGTGGTAATCCGAATCCCATCCAACGATAGGGGTAGCGTCTAGCGGAATCTCAGGCCCGAGGGTGTTCTAAAATTTCAGACCAGACGATGTTCCAGGCACATTCATCAGTGGCAGCCCCTAATCGAAGGCCTGGTGGAAGAGCTCCGTTTTACAGGCCCTGCGGAACTGTAAAAGGTCCTGCAGGGCCCTGATGTTCTCCGGGAGCTCATTCCACCAGGTTGGGGCCGCCACTGAGAAAGCCCAGGTTCTGTTAGACATTCAGCATGGCTTCTTTCTTTCAACTTACTTTTAAGACACAAGAGCTAATCAAACGCCACAAAGAGTCGTCTCAGAGAGCATCTAAGATCCAGCAGGCGGCATGTAGCCCATCCCTGATCAATACCGGGAGAGAAATAAAGGCAGGCCAGTGTTGTACCTGGTGGGCAGCAACGTCAGCCTCCAGCAGGGCATGTTTCTTCTGAAGGTTCTGAACGTTCGTCAGGTCTTTGCCATAATCATCTGAAGCCAGGTGCCCTTCCACCTCGTACAGCCATAGTTCGATGTCTTCCACATTGCGGTTGAACTGCTGCTGCTGGTTGGCTTCACGCAGCTTGATCCCTGGTTGGCAAGGAAAGAAGAGACAGGGATTGGTATGGTTTACTCTGAAGATATGAAGCTGCCTTGTAACAAGTCAGCCACACTTGGTTTCTTGACACTGCCCACTCAGCTGGCAGCAGCTCTCTAAGGTCTCAGACAGAGGTATTTCCTATCACCAACTTCCTGATCTTTCTGACTGGAGATGCTGGAGCCTGAAACCGCATCCTTCTGCATGCAAAGCAGACGCTCTATCTACGAACAGTGGTTCCACCCATTTGGGCAGAGTGATTCCAATGCCACTAACCTTTCTATGAAAGAAAGTGCCCTCTTGACCTGGCCCTGCGCTCTTTTCAACCACCTCCAGCATCGTACCTTTCAGCTCAGTCGCTTCCAGCAGCTTCTTCCACAAACTGATGACTTCATTCATCCGAGCTGCTACTTCGTCAGATGCATAATGCTTGACGTCAATCAACTGCTGCCCAGCCTTCTCCAGGGCATCAATGCGGCTCTGATTGGCTGAGAGCTCGGCCTCAAAAGCTTGATGTTTCTGGACTTTGCCCTGCAGATTGGATGGGTCCTAGAAACAGGAGAAGATTGACCAGACACTGCAGTCTTGAGTTAGCAGAATGTTGTGCTCTATGAGTTTCCTCTCAGGAAAGGGTAGACAGAGAGGCAAACTTCCACATCGTAGAAAACACAGCTGTGTATTGACAGCATCTGTCACATTCAAGCCACCTTTGAATTGACAAGATATTGGTATTACCTTGTAAGCCTCATCGGTTGCAGTTTTCATCTTTTCATTGACCCAGCTTTTCAGCTCATCGGAGTCCCTGAAGAACTGCTGCAGATGGAATGAATCGGCAAGCTGCGTGCGGCGGTACATGGCCCGTTCATGCAAAGCATTGCGTCGGCTCAGTAGCTGGAAGACACAGTGGAGATAAACTGGTTAAGAACTGCTTTCACTAGAATTTCCTTTTGTCACAGCAGAGCTTTCTCAGAATCACAGCAATCAGACAGTTATATTCTTTTAATATGAAGATACACAAGCGGGAGTGAGATACTTTAAACTTAAACTCACAGCATCTCTTCGTGTTGCAACATCTTCCTTAGCGTAGTGGTTGTTCTGTATCAGCTTTGTAGCAAATTCATCCAGGGCCTGAAACAAATATTTATTTTACTTAGTATGTTAACAAGTGCTGACTGAACCAATAAAATAATCCTTTGCAGAAGTCTCAGGCCTAATTAAATAATTTCTGTATTCACTCCTGCGTTAACATCATTTAGTCTACCCTCCTTAGCATCCTGATTAAAGATGCTATTTACACTGAAACTTCCTACAGAAATGTATAGAAAGAAGAAGTATAAACAAACAATTTTGGCAGGGAACGGGTACAAGTACAGTAAAAGCTTTGTTAATCGACATCCCTCGGGAATTGGAGTTGCCGGTTAACCAAATATGCTGGTTAAGAAAGCTTTTACCTGGGGCCCATTTGTGTGGCCCGGCCAGCATGCTGGTTAACCAGGCCGCCCCTTTAACAAGGCATAAAAATTCTTACTAAAAAGCAGCAGTAAAAACCAGAACCAGAAAAAAACTCCAATATGCAAACAGAAGGGCTAATGTGGCATACAAATTAATGTAAATGTGCTCTCAGTGTGACCCCATCCTAAGGCTGCGATCATACAGTTATCCTGAAGCAAGTCCTGCTAATCTCAATACAACATTCCAGAGTGACCACATGAAATACTCCTAGAAGTTCCACCAAGCTGAATGTGATTTACTCCAAAGTAAGGAAAAGGAGTGTATACCCCAAAGACTTTTTTAAAAAAAAGCCAAGACAGCAAAGGAAACCAGGATGACATAAATCCATGTGCAAAAGCTCCCTATATTGATGTATCTAAAACAAGAGAACTCAGAAGCAAGTGAATACTGTTAATACATTCTGGCAGCAAAATAGTAAACTGCAAGTTTTCCTAAGGCAACAGCTCTACATGATAAATCGACTCAAACTACTACAAGGGATGAAAATCTGCAAAAGAAGTCCTCCTGGAAAACCAGGCATATCTGACAGTACTACTCCATATGAAGGCGATTTTTAAACAATTTCCTTGCAGAGGGTATGCATTACTCTGAAGAACAGCCCAATACATATTCAAAGCGCATAGGATGCTGGCTTGTCTTTGATGGAATTAAAATCAAGATTGCATTTTTCAAATGATGGTGTGTAAGGCCCCAAGAAAACTCTGTTACAGGCCACTAACCCAACTTGGAATTTAGTATGGCAGAAGTCCTTTATTGGAATAAGTGAAAAGGCCTATTATAGGAAGTTGAATTCCTGAAAATCTAGGGCATTCTAATTAGGGATCACCTGACCCAGTTAGGAAGGACTTAGTGAAAAACGGTGCGTTACTGAAGTGTGGAAAACACTGGCGCCTCACAGAAGTTAATCACAATTAATACAAACTGGTTAACTAACAAACTACAATCTCTAGCTTGAAACAAGAGTTTGATGCAAACCAACACACACCAAGTTGTTGGACTTTATCCATTCAGATGTCTCAGCAAACTGGGGTCTAATCAAACAATGGTTTATATGATGCCTAATTGGAGTCCTAGTTTAAATGGAGGAGAGTTAGTTAGCTTACAGACAGGTCCTACGTATATTTACTCAGAAGTAAGTCCCACAGAATTCAGTGGGGTTTGGTTCAAGTGAGCAGGGACAGAATTGCAGCCTTAGATGCACATCTTTCAAGATGCACAAATCAACATCCTTTCTTGCCTTCCCTCCATTTGATTTAAACAGAACTCTAACAAAAATAGAGACAGGAAGAAAAAAAATGTAGCATTGTATACAGTTATATGATTCATTACAATGGGTCTCTTAAACGCTGAAAAATAAAATGGCAGAAGGGAAAAAAAGAGCTTCCTGCTTCTTTTTAGTAGCTAGTTGATGATATTTGCTGCTGAGCTTGTGAAACTGCTTCTGTCTCTTCCAAGTGAAACAAAATTTGATGCAAATAACCCAGTACAAAAACGCCTTACTGTGATCTTCTCTTCTTGGGCACTGAGGGACTTTTCAAAGTCCTCATGCTTCTTTAGCAAGGCTTCCACACTGTCCAAAGAATCACCCAGGTCTTCATTTAGCAAGAAGGCCTGAAAGAAAGAAAAGAAAAATGAAACAGGTAGCAATTTGTGCACGTCCTACATTCAGCCATTCTAATGTTAACAAGGCCTCAGCATCTGGAAGAATGGTATCCTTTGATGTACATGGCCTTAGGACGACTTCCATCAATCTTGAAACCTTGGACTAAAACTGAAAATGGCCAGCCCTTCAAACTAGCTTGTTAGCAGATGTGTTTAAAAATGTATTTTTATCTGTATTGTCCTGATGCTTGAATGTATGCAATGTATCTGCATTTGTGTATGGGTTTGGAATGCTGTGTGATCTGCTTGCTTGAGTCTATCTGCACCTGGAAGCTGCTGTGCCAATGTGCTGCCTGCACCAGTATGTTACTGAAGGCACACACACACCTACCCATCCTGCCTTGGGAAGAAGAAGCATTCTCCATTATGCTCAGTCAAAGGACTCTTACAAACAACAGCTTTACCACCATGGATGAGTCTCCAGATAACACTAACCCTGTATCTGGTTTGCATCTGAAAGTGACTTTTTCCTGTTTACGACCCCTGGACCAAGCCAGAGCATCTCCACATCAAAGGTTTCCATGGCAATGCAACTGTGACCCCTTGACCAAATGGTTCGTATAGAAGCATAGGGTAGAATTTGAATATTGCCCCACTCCCTCTAGATAGGTACGTCACATCCCAATGGCCAATAGACATAGGGACTGGGACGGACTAAGAACAGGAGTTTGGCACTGATGCCAACCCCCAAACAAGGTGATAAAAGGTTAGGAGCATCCTTTGTTGGTCGCTAGCCATCCCCATTCCACCCAGGCAACTAAAGCTCTACTGAAGGTTATTCTCACGTGCTTCCTTGGATCGCGACCAAGTGAAGACCACACGTGTTTGGCTGGTCCACTCGTGTGCAATAGAATCCCTCTAGATAGATCTTTCGTTCCCGCATCCCCCATTGAGGAGATCAAACTCTCTTCTGGATCAGATAAGTATATCCGTTAACCTTCTGTATGCTACCACCCAGTTAGTCAACGTTTGTTATTTTCCATACTGATTGCTTTACATTTCTACTGTACCTAAAGGAGCTTGTGTGTTTGTGTGTATGAAACAGTTTTTGTATGCTTGCGGACTCCAATATTATTCAGTAAAGACAACATTTATTCTTTAAACATCCAGGTGTGTTGTCTCTTTGTGGGAAATAACGAGTGTCTGTTCTGCATTCTTATCTCTGTATACACTGGTGTCCAAGAACCCCTAAAGGATTAATCTTCCCTAAGAGGATTTATCCTAACAAGCTCTCAAGAGATATCACACTCAATTGAATATGAACTGGGAATTAGACATCAGTGGACTGAGCTAGCAAAATGGCAGCTGTGAAAAGGCGGCTTAAAAATAGAGAGAGCATCCAATTTCTTTTGACATACACCAGGGTGGTCAAACTGTTGCTCGGGAGCCGCATGCGGCTCTTTCACACATATTGTGCGGCTCCCGGTAGGGCGGCTAAGGAAGCTGAATACCATTAGCAAACATATATCATTGGACAAATAAATATCATTATCGATATCTGCTTTTACCGCTTTTGTTATTATTTTTGGCAGTCTCATTTAATGTTAATAAAAAGCAAATCTGCATATTTCCCAGTAAAAACGTGTAATATTTGTTCATGTCTTGCGGCTCTCAAACATCTGATGTTTATTCTATGTGGCTCTTACGTTAAGCAAGTTTGGCCACCCCTGACATACACCATGAACCAAGCCCCTGAACACCAGTGCTAAGAGGCCACATCAAGGAAAGGTGTATTTGCTGGCTGGCCAGGGCAACTGGCTGGCCAGTGGGTGAAACAGAATGATGGACCACATGGACCACAGGTTTCAGCTAGTTTCTTCAGTTCCTGTGTAATTTAAAGCATCACCCCTCCCCTCCAATGATCCCTCTAAGCTGTGGAGTCTTGTGAGCAAACATTCTACTTTGTGAGCTACTGGCACTAAAGTTGTGAGCAAGCAATCTGGCTACTGCATAAATTAGTTTGCTCTGGAGCCATCCGTCCTGAGCTAAGACAAAAATGTGTGAGCTGGAGGCTAAAAACTCTGAGCTAGCTCACACTAACTCAGCTTAGAGGGAACACTGCTCCCCTCCGGCTAAGCACGCCCGCTTGTTAAATTATGCTCAGCGTAGTTCAGCACGAACATACTTCCTGTTTGCTCATCCAATTGTCCACTTGCTCGGTGTCCCTGTAGAAAAGCTGCAGGTCCATGCACTGCTCGTACTGCTGCCTGCGAAGCTCCCACAGTTCCAGAAGCGCAGTTCTTTCATCTGACAGGATGGTCAACTGAGGAAAGGAAAACACCAGTTACAGTGGCAACTCACTCAAGTCCTCAAGAACTCTATACATCAGCTCTAATGCCTGAGAGTAAACCCCCCGAAAAAAAGACCACACCCACCTATAGTCTCTCGAGTGCTAGCTTCCCCTACCTATTCCAAATGGTTACAAGAGGGACTGCAGTTTAGGAGCAAAATGGCAGCTTTGCATGCTTGGGTGTCAGGTTGAACTTCTGGCATCCACAGTTTAAAAAAGGTGCTCAGATGGCTGGACAGCTGCTACCAGACAAAGATGACAGGGTGGGGCCAGAAGGACCAGTGGTCTGACTCAAGCAGGAGACAGATTCACATGTAAAATATCTGATGGGTTCTAGCAAGGCCCTTTTCACTCTGAGAAGCGTTCTTGTAAATGCAACTGTTAGGAGATAAACGGCTCCTACTTTTTATGACCTAGCACAGAAAAACTGAAAATTGGATCAGCAGTACATTTGATACCTTTTCCTAGTTGCTTTCACTAGCGAAACACAAACTTCGGTTCTCACGTAGATTCTTTTGGGGGGCCATCAAATCACAGCTGATGTATTATGGCGGCCCCACAGGGTTTCCAAGGCAAGAGACATTCAGAGGTGGTTGGCCATCGCCTGCCTCTGCACAGCAACCCTGGTGTTTCTTGGTGGGTCTCCCATCCAACTAACTAACCAGGGCTGAGATCCTGAGATCTGATGAGATGAGGCTGGCCTGGGCCATCCAGATGAGAGCTATGCAGATTATACCAGCTTAAAAATGAGAAGAGATTATTAACAGAAATGGAATGTGTTTACAGTAAGCCTTTCTGACCCAATCGTATTAAATTCCATTGCTGTTTTCAACTTCTTCCTTTCTACTGGGTGTCCTCTTACCTTCTCTCTGACTTCATCAGTGGCATAATGACCAGCAGCGAGCAGAGCCTGTCCAGATTCGTCAGCAGATTTAAAACTGTCTTCATGGGCATCAATTTCTCCCTGTGACAAAAGATATTTTCATTCTCCAAAATGGCCAGTTTAAAATAAACATAGAGAACAGACATAGAGATCCCTTAAAGCTCAGCCCTGGAAATTCAGGCACTAATTGGGTTCAGCTATAGGGACATTCGGCTGTTGCTGCACAAGATCAATGCATCACAGAACGTTAGAAACAAAATACCAGGAAGAAACTGAAGTATCACAAACTTAATTCCTGTCTTGTAAAAAGGAGAAGGAAAAGCACAGTGACCGTGTCCCTTCTATTACAACTATTATGCTCATCATACCATTCTGGCTCAGGTGTTCAAGAGAACATCACACTTTAATGTGCCTATATTTGTTTTTGTTTTTTTATTTTAAAAAAATTATTTTCCAAAAACTACAAGAAAATAGGAAGGGGAAAACTATAAACTATGGCAGAAAGTAAAGATAACTACTAAAACCCCAAGAGGTGAAGGTCATATAATGCTTACATTAACATAGCTTAGATTAAAAAGAAAGAGATAATTGGTTACATTGGAGGTGATCATTAACACCGCTTAAATGTTTCAAGTCCAGATATTCTGACTTATTAAAGAACATTACAGATACACGGTCATATACTAATAAAGGAAAAAACAAGCTTCAGAGAAAGTTAGCATCTCATTTTTTGCTTCTTCTTTCCCTCAAACGATATCCTTGCTTGGGGGCCGCCGCCCCATGTTCCAAGTTCGAGTCTTCACCAGTAAGTGTTTCATCATCACTTCCCTTATAACTCTCCTCGTCATCTTCCCCTGATGGTCCACACTGCTGCCGCAAGAACTCACTGGCTTTCATAACAGAGTCAATTCAATATGCCTATATTTGTTGAAGGGGTGGGCAAGGTGTACTTTAGTGCCCTTCATACAGAAGAAACATCCTTGTTCTAGATCGTCTGTGTCCTCCTCCTCGGTGGCCAAGGTCTCTTTCTCTATGCAATGCTATGCGTGCACTCACCCTCCTCCATTTTCACATTACTTCTGCTTGACTTCCTAATTTAAAACAATTGGTCATGGCGGGCACTGAACAGCTGAAAGGAAATCCCATCTTGCTTACTTCTGTGACACCACTTGTGAAGGCTGGGATGTTAAATGGGATTAGAACAGAGGTAAACAAGATGACCAGTTTGACCAGCATGGTCTGCATCCCAACCTCCCACTGACAGATGGAAGCCAAGTGGTTTCTATGTCAGTGCACGTGAAGAGATTTACCACAGTGCACGTGAAGAGATTTACCACAGCTTGCTATCTGTTACAGTTATGATAGTGTTAAAGAGTTCTTCCCTCTAGCACTGCTCAGGGAAGAGGCTTAAAATTATTGACAAGAGTATCGCAACAGCATTTGCTGGGATCATTCAGTTATAACATTTCCGATGACATTTACTGGGCACAGAGAACAGTCATGAGCCAAGCTTTTTAATTTCTGAGGTAACTACCGGTCCTTTCTGCAACCTTAGGCATTCCACAATTTAAGTGTGGGGTCCTTCTAGAAACATCAACACTTTTGACCAGCTTTCCTCAGAGGCTAGTCCCTGAGACAGGTACAGTCTTGTTCTAAAGCGTTTGCTAAATTAGCCTGCTTTCCCTAAAAACCAGGCTCTGAGACAACACAGCCAGCAGAGAAAGGATCCCTCCATCCTTGAAGCACAAACCCTCTCTGACTAGAACTGGCAGTTTAATGGATTTCTCTCTCCACTCCTCCCTCCCATCTGGCTCCACCAGCCTTCCACAGGTCCTGATTGGCTCTCTGCTGCTTGGCACACGCAACAAACAGGCACAGAGAGGATTGGTGGTTCACAGAAAGGTGCAGGACCTTTGCTCATCCATCACACACACAAAAATCTTCCAGACCTGTAAAAGTTACAGCTGCACAGAAATCAGAAAATGCAGGGGATGCGACCCAACCCCTCCAGCTGTCAGAATCGGGCTCTGCTGATTGTCATGTTGACTAATGTTATCTTTTATTTCTGTCTTTGTAGCTCGCTTTTGTTTTTTGACCATTTGGTCTCAACCCTTGCCAGTCCTCTCTGCCATAAAGAGTCAGAGGAATGGGGGGCAGGGGGGGGGAAGAGTAGGTATGAATGCCATATTTCTGTATGTGTGTGTGCGGGTGTCAGGTTAGCTTTGCTGGTAACGACTTTCCCATGAGAATGAGCCCCAAGGGACTCTCATCCTTGAAGAAACATCTGTTGCTAGATAATAAGCTTTGTAGTGTGGGGTAAGAGGATGGGGGAGTGAATGCCCGCTGCATGACCATTGCATTATGGGACATTGATCTATTACCTATACAATGCCTAACCCTTGATCTATTCCTTAGTCTGAACAAGAGTTCTCTCTTGTGCACAACTAAATCTGTTTCTAATAAAGCTTTCATGAAAAGACTATTAAGCTGAGAGTGGTCTGGAATTACCATTCAGTGGTCAAGGGTCTGACACCAGCATTATGGAATTACCATTCAGCCGTTCAGAACACCAACAGTGGCAACCATTGGTCCTGGGCTATTACCTTGTGCTCCTGATGTCTGTCTAGCAGGGCTTCGGCTCCAGCCACGTCATTGGCAAGCTCGTCAGCATTAATCAGAGCCTTCATTTCAGTTACCCAGCTAGTGAGGTCTCGAAAGTCTGCAAGAAATCGTTGTAGCCTTCGGAAGGAAGGAGGGACGTTAAAAACGAAACAGGGATACCACAGTCAACCCTCCTTTAGAAAGAGGCACCCTCAGTAGAAATATGGTATAAGAAACTTTGGACTCATTACTTAATGGATGCAGTCTCCAACAAACTAAATTGCATGTCACAAAACCCAATAAAGTCTAATTTCATAGAGAAATGGTACCCAGTGCTAGATTATCTGTCACAAAAACAATTTATCTCATCTGATTGGTCTCAATATCACAAATGGATATAAGATTAATGCAATGTCCAGTTCCGCAAATTCTCATACTTACTTACTTATATCATCTCCACTAGCTCTAATATTTCCTTTTCTTTCTTCTCTTTCTTACCGCTCCAATAGTTCGGGATGCTTCCTAATGTTCCTATCAAGTTTACGCTAAGTCTGTTATCTTTCTACTGAAATCATATTCGGAAGTGTGTTGAGTAATGTATTGTAATTCTTTGAACATGTTATAACGTTGTACATACGCAGGAACTATTTACAGGATGTGAATGTAATTGGAAAATTAATTGTTCACTGTTTGAAGTGTTAGAATTGTTAAAAATTGAAAAAATAAATTAAAAAAAAAATGGTAAAAAACAAAAACAAAAACCCTCCTTTTAAATCTGTGCGTGAACTCCTGTTTCCCTCTGCCTCAGTTTCAAACCTCATTTGCTTCTCACTGGTGCTGTTTCAAGACAATTATCACCAATGCTTTTTCTTGTCATCTCCCACAGCAACCCTGGTGCTTTTTTTTTATTCCCAGCATCGGCTGGCTTTGTAGATTTGTTTGCATTACATACATTCCTATCATATTTATATGTACAATATAAGTCATTGATATGCAGAATGTATATACAAAGCAACTGAACAAACAACGATAAGAAGATACGCTTTGAAGGAGAAACATGAGGAGTTTGGAAACGAAACGGCATGAAAATAAAGAATCACAGGTTCTACTTACACAAGGAGAGTTAAACTGAAATGGAGATTCTCAAATTTGAAACCACAGTGATGAGAAAGTTGAATCTGCACTGTCTCTAGCGGGGAGCACCCAGTTCAAATCTCATAAGCCGGACAAGCAATAAGAAGCTGTAACAAGCTGTTATCTGTCAGCCAAGATGGAAATTCTAATACTAGCTAACCATGTAAGCAATGTTCTCTCTCCCCCCCCCCCCCCCCCGGAGCAGTTCACATCCTGAGCAGAATATGACTGCTGGAATCTTAAAATGGGCTGTGGGCAGTGCAAGACCCTGCGTGGCTCCAGATGGCTGCTGAGTGGGGCTTCCTGTGTTAATGAGTGGGCCGCTCATTACAGCTTACAGGGAACACTGCATGTAAGGTCATTGCAAGCGATCCTCGTTCTCCAAGGTAGGACAGAATGGAAAACATGAAGCCATTCATTATTCTCACTGCACTTCTCAAAACTCACTTTTGAAAAGCATTTCTTGGGCCACTGCAGAGTCGACTTTTACCGACTTTCATTTTGCCATTTGGCCCTAACCTTCCTTATTGAACCTGGCTCTTTCCTCCACCTTTGCCTTGTTTGTTGCCTAGCGTACTGCTGGGTGCTGAGTAAGGGTCCCTGCATCTTACTGTCTGCCCGACATGGAGATTAATCTCTGCACACCCATAACATATAAATGAAGGAATAAGAAGCACTTTGCAGGAAAACTGACGCAAGAAACAGTTCTCTGTTTAGCCAAGGTGAACAAGAAATTCACGCCACCATCTGCACAATGCTAGGCGTGCACTCCCCCCCCCAATACTGAGATTAATCTCCATATCAAATAGAGAATCATGGTAGATGTAAAATGTAACAAATATTTATGTATACACAAACGCATGCATAAATGTATAAACAGATACTGATAGCGTGCCTGGCAGCCGCCGGCTGAGAGGCATGGCACTGTCATGGAATGTTCATTTTCCTTCCTGTCTGTGGTGGTAGAAGCCTGGGCGTGGCCAGAAGCTCCTTCTTTAATATCTTTACTAGATGTGTAGCTGAGCTTCTGTCTCCTTCCCGTCTACGTGTATAAAAGCCTGGGTGTGGACAGGGACATGAATTCAAGGGCCGGAACCAAAGGCCTCATGGCCCTTGGCTTTTAACCCATGGCTTGCAGCCAATGGCCATTGTGTGAGGCATCCCAGAGGGTCAGAAAGTGCTGAGGATGTAGCCTTTGGGTTTTTGCTTTTGCACCTCATTTGTTTAAACTGTAGTTTGTTGATATTGCTGTCGGTTTAAATTATATTTAGGTGGTTTGGCTTTGAATGGTTAGAAAAACAGGGGAATAAGCTAGCTGATAACCACCAAGGGGAAAACTGGCAGAAATAGAATTTAACATGGCTTACTGTGAGTGAACAGCTCAGTCAGATCGAAACAATCAAATCCAGGCCCCAGGGACAGAAGTAGGGATGGGCACGAACCAAACCACAAAGCAAAACTCACCACAAATTTTGCCGCAAAGCAAAACTCACCACAAACTTCCACAAACTTTTAAAGCAGTTCGTAGATAGAGCAGGAAGCAGGGGTTTAAAGGGACAAACAGCAGGGAAGGAGGAAGGGAGATGGCCTCTGAAAGTTTTTGTGGGTCCCCTGCTTGTTTCCTCCTAATACGAACCACAGTCTGTGAGGATTGGATAATCTTATGTAACCCTATTGGTTTATGTGCCTAAAAAAAGCCATACCACAACAGGAAACCATTAGAAACTTGTTAGGATTACAGATGACAAGGCAGATTTATTTCACTCATCCAGCAGGAGTTAATTAAAATATTTACTTCTGAAGTACAAGCCAAGAAATATGAACCCACGTGAAACTTGTAAAGATGCCTCTTCTCTTCTTTCCCATTGAAGGAGATATAAATCCGGGTGTGGAAATCATGTATTTTTAAAAACCACATACAGTCTTTCCATACGTACAGCATTCTTACCTATAGGAATCATCTAGGCGAGCATGCCTCTCTGCTGCCCGAGTGCGAATCTGTTCCCAGTTTGCAATCAGTTCTTCCCGTTTGACATGGATCTGAGAGGCGTTTTGAGGGTGGGACTGCTGCAATCTTTCTGCCTCCGTACACAAGGCCTTCACCTGGAGGCAGAGAGGGCCCACAAGTAACAGCCAGGCCAGCAATGCCATTTAATCCCCCCCCAAATAAAAGCATCTGCTCCATCTACCTTGTCTTCCAGAGCAGCAAGATCCCTCTCCAAGCCCTCGTGTTTGCGCAGCAAAGCCTGCACGCTTGCTAGGTCTCTGCCGAAGTCATCAGAAGCCATCAGCTGCTCTTTCTCTTTAATCCAGCTGATAGTCTCATCCACATCCCTGCAAGAAACAAATCCCAATTTAATTTACAGGACCTATCAGGGAACGAGGGCAAAGATCTCCATGGAACTATATTCTTCCAGATGGGGCTGTTCTCATCATGTGCACATAAACGAAAACTAAATTCTCTGCACAAAATTAAACACTGTGCTCCCAAATACAACATGAGAGGCAGACCCAAGATCCTCTGGCAAGTCTCTGAACAAATTTCGCTTGGCAGTTGCCTTCAGATGCTTGACATGAGTTCCAAAATTGTTTGCTTCTTTTCTCAGCATGTAACACATATTTTGTCTGAGCACTTCTTTACTGCATCCGTGGTTCATGGATTTGGACCTTCAGACTTGGCAAGTATTGTGTTAAGAATAAAATTCAATTTAGAAAAAAGTATTGTATTAAGATCTTAGTTCCTCAAGATGCTATTACATTCTTAGGAACAAGTCACACAGGTGAAAAGAAAGCCATCAAAGGAACTTCACAGGAATTTCTGGCTACAGTGGTTGTAGAAAAGATTATTGTGTCACTATTAACCTATAAAAAATGACTGTTATGTCCTCTAAGGAGAATGTTAAACTAGAAAACAATTCCATCTGCTGCTTCTGAAGAGTGACAAGGTATTTATTTGGCGAGATAGTACCTTTTGTGATTATGTTACCAAACTACAGAAACACTGTTTTGATGTTATTTCATTATAAACTGGGAGGGAAATTGTACCTGGCTATCTAAGGTGGATATCATCATTCACAAGGGGTTAGAGCTGCATTTAGAAGGGAAAAGCCACACTTGTCAATATTCTCTCTTTTTACAACTGACAAAAGCTGGGGAACCCGATCTTGCACAGCAATCCCATATGCAAGGCACAACTATATTATGTTGCAACTCCCTGAATCTACCAAGAACCATCAAAAAGCATTCCACAGCAAACAGCGAGGAGGGCTGATGGTACAAAAGTTGGCAAACGGTGCAAGCAGATTCCACCGAAACAGGAGACAAAAGAAATTCTTTGGTTGCTCAGTTACAGAGTTGGCACAAATAAGGGTTGCCATTAGAAGAGAAAAGTCTCTTTATGCTTAACCAATAAAAATTAAGCTCTAGCTCCCCCTCTCTGACACAGGCCCTAGACAGTTATGGAGGGACCATGGCTCAGTGGCAGAGCATCGGCTTTGTGTGTAGAAGGTCCTAGGTTCAATTCCCGGTATCTCCAATTAAAAGCATCAGGTGATAAGTCCTGTGACGTGGTCCCCACTTAAAAAACACTGACCTTGATAGGCCAATGGTCTCATTCAGTACGAAGCAGCCTCATGTGTGTGTATTCCCAGCACAAAGTGTTCATTCTCATGGGGAAGCAGGACCATAACAGAGGTAGGCAAGCATCCATATAACTTTGGGGCGGGAGGGCACAGCCCTGTGACAAGAGCACACGCTTTGCATGCAGACGGCCCCTGGTTCAATCCCTGGCACCTTGGGTTGACAGATCCCAAGTAACAAGCCTGAGACCCTGGGGACCCACTGACAGCCAGGACAGACAGTACTGGCCTAGGTGGACCACGGGGTCTGACTAGATATAAGGAAGATTCACACGTTCAATTTTAAAAGGCAGTAATTTTTTTTAAAAAAATAATGTAATTATTAATTCAGATAAAAAGTAATCGACAGAGCATGGTCAAACTCATACCTGTTAAAACGCTGCACTTCTGCAGCTCCAAACAGTTTTCCCTGTCTCTGAAGAGCCAGTCCTTTAAGACGCTGCCAGCTGGCATTGATTTCATCTTGCTTAGACTTGATTAACTCCTCTTCAGGGTGCTGTTCCTAGAAGGTGAAGGGGGGGGGGAGAACCTGTGGGTGAATTTGCATGTATCAAGCGGCTTCTGTTTTCCCAGGGCACTCTCTTTCAGTAACTCCCATTATCTTCATAAACTCATTTGTTCCTTGTCCCCCTGGCAGGTAACAAGGGTTATATATAGCTTAAAGCTCCCCCTAGTGCACAGTTAAACCAGAAAAGAACTGGAAAGTAGGGATGGGCACAGACCCAAAAAATCCAGTTCAGGGCACACACACACCCCCAGCCAAACCTTGAACCAAACCAAACCAAACGGCCCCGGAATTGATCAATTCCCCGGCAAAATCGATCCCCCCTTTCTCCTGACTGAGGCGAGTTGCAGCCGGGAGAAGGGGGGGGGGGAATCACCCGGGAAGGATTAAAATGGCTGGGGGTCATTTAACCCAATCATTTCACTTCTCCCCACTTAAGAACATAAGAACATAAGAGATGCCAATGTTGGATCAGGCCAAAGGCCCATTCAGTCCAACACTCTATGACCAGAAATACCAGTGCTTCCAAGTGGGAGGAAGAGAAACCAATGGGTTTAATGGCTGGTAGACATTTAAACCTAACAGCTGACGGGCAGATCCACCCTACTGTTAGGTTTAAATGGTTGGCAAGAGGGGAGTCATCTGCAACATTCTGAATCTACTGGTTGTGTGAAGGAGTAGATTCAGAATGTTGAAGATTACTCCCCTCAAGAAAAATGTATAACCTTGGAAAGGTACAATCTTCAATTCTGTTACCTTGTTTGTTTAGAACGACTAATCTTCAGTATCACAGCACAAAATTAAGGGACAATGTGCCGAACCAGTGATCTCCGTGCTAAGATACAGCATCTCTCTGCTGTTTAGAATCTAGCCAAGGTGGTGGTGGTGGTGGGGGGGTTGTGTGTATGTGCGTGGTTTTCTCAAATCAACTGTCCAAATCCCAGCTAAAGCCAGGCCTGAAAATCTATTCTCCTTCTCCCCACCCTCATTCCTACTCTGGAAGAAGAATCTTGAGGCTGATGATTGTTGGCCAAAGTCCATACGGTTGTCTATAAACACGGAGAGAACACTCAGACAGTGGCCAATCTCCTGTAGCTATATGTGGGACTCTTTTCTTACTTTGGGGATCAATGTTCCCCCTAAGCTGCGGGGGCCTCGTGAGCCAAAATTATACTTCATGAGCCAAAAGCCCTACTCCATTTGAAATTGTGAGCGAGCCTACATTTTTTGGGGGGAAGAAAGACTGGGAGGTGTGGAAAGAAAGCAAATAGATGGAGAGAGGAGAGAGGAGAGGGGAGAGGAAGGAAGGAAGGAGATGGGGAGACAAGAGTGAAAGACAGAAAGAAAGGAAAGTCAGGCTGCAAAGAAAGCAGCCTGGAGTGTGGGGGGGGGGGGAAGGACCCCCCGGCCCTTCCTTT